AACAACTGTTAACACTAGACCAAAATATAGATACAACTAATGGTTTTCAGGCAATGTAGTTATCTGGTAAGTAATGCAGAAGGATAGAAAGAAGCAGAACTAAAAAATGAATGGCAAGGGGCAAATAGCTTATACTAAAAAGTGAAAGCAAAAAGTACATGACCAATATTAGATACACAGGAAAAATCTATATACTTAAGCTTATAAAATATATGAAAACAAAAATGAAACAAATACAGACTTACATAAAACAAAGTAAGAGTTTTTAGTTGTTAATGCATACACAAATATATACATGCACTCTGAGGTGTGGTTGTAAAAAACTTGTTTAGATTTGGGTATAAGGGTACTGTCTTCATCAGCTGTCACACAGAGCCAGGCTCTGGACAACAAACTTCTCATTGAAAAATTGCTTTGCTGAGCCATCCTCAGGCTATGTAGTTTCTTCCTAGCCTCCTTTCCCTCCTGGGAAATCTGCCACGGTCCTGCCTCTGCCTAATGGTGCAGTTAGGATAACAGAAAGCTCAGAGAAAGTCCCAGGAACAGCAAAGAAAGAGAGAGAGAGACAGACAGACAGACAGAGACAGAGAGAGAGACAGAGGGGAAGGAAGGAAGGAAGAAAGGAAGGAAGGAAAGAAAGAAAGAAAAAGTTATTTCGAGAATGGAAAGGATGTGTCTTTCAAACACTTACAAAAAATTAGTAATAGACAAAGAAAACTATTCTTTGTCTCAGACAAAGAAAACTCAGGAATGAGGAACAAGACTAGAGATTAAAGACAGATTTCACAAATCTATAGGAGTAGGGAATCAAGCAATATCATAATGCTAATGAGAATGTTCAACATATAGCCACTATAGATGGAAATGTAATTTCCTCCACTCTGTGACCTGGCAGAGGGTCCCCTGACTTCTTCATTGCCAGACCCATGCATCTGCTTTGTCCTGGCAGGCAGGAAATCCTTACTGATTGGTACAGCCAGGCCTTTTGAGCTTCTGGTGTTTTAGGTGACAGTGGATCTTTCTATCTACTCTGGGTCCTGTCAGCTACTTCCCTCTCCTCAGCAATACTTGATTTTACGGTCAAAAGTCTTGTGTTGCTTCTATTCCCAGGCTCCCCATATGCTCTCCTGGATGTGGAGAGCCATGTAAAGCTTTTCTTTGCTAGAGCTAGTCTCTTACATTGGGGTTGTTTCTGCCTCACTGATCTCTGCACTATGATTAAAGCTTGTGTTTTGTGTTGGTTTTTCTTATAGCTGTGTGTGTTTTGTGTTGGTTTTTCCTATAGCTAGAGTTGGTGTTTTGTAAAGAGTGCCTGATTTTACCCTGTATTGCAGTCTTCAATCTCCCCAGTCACAGTGGGGGAGCCATAGGGTGGCTCTAGATTCCTCGCTACATTTTTCCTGTCACCTCTTCTGTAGATTTGAACTCCTTCCTCTCTTCAGAATCTAGTCTTGTCTGTGATACCAGATGTTCTCTTTCATGGACCAAAAATAGCAGATGTTTTAGTGTGTCATCTTGGCTTATTCTCTCCTGAGTTTTTTTTCTTCTGTCAAGTGTATATACTTGGAATAATTCCATATTTAAATATAGAGGTCATTTATGAATGAGTCATAGCTTATTTAACCTGTTTCTTATTTCCGGTCACTTAAATTGTTTCTAGTTTCACAAGAAATCCTTCAGTGAATTACTGTAGCATATGTCTTTTGTTGTGTTTTTGTCAAATTAACATTTGGGAGTGAATCCTAGAAACAAGACTAGTGCATATGTAATTTTGAAATTACATTTCCACCTATAGTGGTTATATGTTGAACATTCTCATTAGCATTATCATACTGCTTGATTCCATACTCCTATAGACTTATGAAATCTGTCTTTAATCTCTAGACTTGTTCCTTGTTCCTGAGTTTTCTTTGAGAATAGAATACATTACTATTACTAATTTTTTTGTATTAGTGTTTGTAAAACATCTTTTCCATTTTCAAAATAATTTTCTCTGCCCCCCCCCCCCCCCCCGTTCCTGGGTCTCGAACTCTAGGCCTGGGCACTTTCTCTGAGCTTTTGTACTGAAGACTAGCAGTCTACCACTTGAACCACAGCTCCAGTTCCAGCTTTTTGTGATTAATTGGCTATAAAAGTATCACAGACTTTTCTGCCTTGAGTAGCTAGGATTACAGATGGGAGCCACTAGCACCTAGCTCAAAATAACTTTTAGGCTTACTAGGACAACATTTTTAAATGGGTTTTACTACTTAGATCATTTTATTATGTTTCATGTTTAGCTATTGGTTTTTTAGTATAGCCTAACCGTCAGTTGGATTCTTTTTATAGAGCTGATGTAACCATTGATAGGTTAGGTTTTGATTTTATCTAGTCTGTGTTTTTTGCCCCCTGCTATTTCTTTTTTCTTTGGGATTGAATATCATGATTTCATTGTCACGATGTATAAATTCTATACTTAAATTTTTTTGGGGGGGGGTCCGGTTGTGGGGCCTGAACTCTGGGCCTGGGCGCTATCCCTCAGCTCTTCAGCTCAAGGCTAGCGCTCTACCACTTGAGCTACAGCGCCACTTCCGGCTTTTTTCTCTTTGCTTATGTGGTGCTGAGGAATTGAACCCAGGGCCTCAGGCTTGCAAGGCAAGCGCTCTACCACTGAGCCACCTTCCCAGCCCACGATGTATAAATTCTATAGTATACCATTTCTGTTTTTCATCTTTTGAATGTCTATCCATACATCGATGATCTAGTTGTCTAATAAATGATATATAATGTACATTTCTTTTGGTGGTAGGTGGGGTAGGGTTTTTTGTTGTTGTTGTTGTTTCTTTGTTTTTGTATGTGAAGGTGGTGGGAAGTTTACCAAATAAGGAGTTTACTGAAAGAGATCATTTCTAGAGAAAAACAATGACTTATACTCAGGTATGAATTTTTATTCAAGTGTAAGGGGCTTAAAGTGTTAAGTATATTTTTACTACATCGAATTTTTCCAGTTCTCTTTGTTGTAAAAAGTCTATTTTATTTCTTTTCTCTACATTAAAAAAATTAGAATCATTTAGTTGTACCAAGAAGATTTCATTTTGACATCCAAATATGGATACAGTGTACCTTGATCAGATTCAGTGTCTTCCATTTTATTCGTTATTCAAAGATAACTTTGCATGGAATAATATTCTCAGCTGACTGTTCTTTGTTCTTTTTGTTGTTGTTGTTGTTGGTTTGGTTGGTCATGGGGCTTGAACTTTGGGCCTGAGCTCTTCAGCTCAAGGCTAGCAATCACTAATTTTTAGCAAATGGGTAATGACAGCCTATGGAATCAATTAGTTTTTTCCTATTAGAGGTTTATTCACATTTTTGGATCTGTAGGCTTATTTTCAGCAGGTTTCAGTTTTTCATTTAACTTTTTATTATACTTTGCTATTGGTGTGCTATCAGATTACTGTTAATGTGATGATTTTTTGGGTCCGGTCGTGGGGCCTGAACTCTGGGCCTGAGCACTGTCCCTCAGCTCTTCAGCTCAAGGCTAACACTCTACCACTTGAGCCACAGTGCCACTTCTGGCTTTTTTTTTTTTTTTTTCTGCTTATGTGGTTCTGAGGAATCAAACCCTGGGCCTCATGCATGCAAGGCAAGTGCTCTACCACTGAGCCACCTTCCCAGCCCCATGATGATTTTTTTTTGACCTCTAGATTCTTAATTTCTTCCATTGGTTATAGGCAGTGAGGAATATTTTTTTTGCTGAGAGATGTTTGAATAATAGTTCCGCTAAGAGCTCCTTCATTTATTATGCTTTCTTTAATTTTTGGTAATACTGGGGTTTTAACTTAGGAGAGCCTTACCACTTAAGCTATTTTATTTATTCATTCACTGAGCCGGTCCTGGGGCTCAGGCCGGGGTGCTGTTCCTGAGCTTTTGTGCTCAAGGCTAGTGTTGTAATCTTTAACCCACACCTCCACTTTTCCCTTTGCTTTATTTTTTGTGTATATTTTTTATAGAAAGTTCATCACAGACGTTGAGTGTTTTAGAATAATGTTGAATTTATGCCTGGACCAACCTGGACCACAATCCCACCAATCTTCCCCTCCTGAGTAGCTAAGAATGCAAAGTGTGAGTCACTGTGTAAGCCATTGCACTGAGCCGCAGTATCATTTTAACGTTTTGAGCAGTAGAATGTTACTATGCTCATATATTTTTTATAGATAGCTCTATGACTTTTTACCTCCATCAGAAACTTTGCTCAGAGAAAGCTTCTGTTTAATTTTATAACAGTATTATACTCCTAATTTTACTCTAATTTTATTATACTCTTAATTCCTAGCCCCTCCTACTTTTTTCCCTCCAGAGAACTTGTCACAAATGGATACATATTTTGCTAATATATGTTATAACAATATTTTTCTTTCCTTAAAATTTTATTTTTATGGAAGCAAGGATTCGTAGTCATGTAATTCTTGTCATGTAATAATGAATAATAAGTACTGGTTAATGAATTTTGCTTTATGTTGGTGAGGAGCAGAGACCTGAGGAAGAACAGTTTCATCCCATCACAGTGCTGTGTCAGTGTGTCAGGTGGCAGAGGATTTGCTGGACTGATAGGAATGAGAATAAAATAACTTAAAAAATAAATAATTTTGGGCTGGGATGTAGCTCAATGGCAAAGCGCTTGCCTAGCAAGTGTAATGTCCTGGGTTCGATCCTCAGTACCAAAAAACAAAAGAAAAAAAATAGAGTTAAAAAAAACAAATAATTTTAAATAATTAAAATACTTTAAAAAAGAATAGAGCCACCAGTGTTACTTGTGGTTGTAATTATTGAATCAAATATAAAGAACTAAATACTTATGTTTTAATATAGATATTTACAAAGAAAAATTACTGGCTAGTGAAAATAAGTCAGTAGATCTTGGTGTTGTACTTAAAACAAGCAAACAAATGTTAAATTGTCTAGTAGAAGTCATATTGGTTTTTCTGGATCACTATTTTTCTTTTCTTTTTCTTCTTTCTTAGGGCTTTGCTTCCTGTTTTACATCACAAATCTAAAAAAGGACCTCCTCGCCAAGCCAAATATGCTATTCATTGTATCCATGCAATATTTTCAAGTAAAGAGACACAGTTTGCACAGATATTTGAGGTAATGAGATTCTTTAAATGTATTTCATATCATAGTTAAAAAGCAAATATTGTTGATATGTTATGTATACTGTTAGAATTTGAATCACTAAAGTCAACATTGATGAATGGGTGCAATATAAAAATACCTGATTATTCTGACGCCTCATGCTAATTCAAATACAGAAATAAATACCGTAATACTTTCTACATTGCTTTATACACTTGCATTTGGACTTTGAGAGGTAATTATATATAAAATTATAGTTATTGGTAGTATGTAACAGACTATACAAGTTCATAAAATTTTAATTCTGTTTGGGACACTACTAAAATACAGGATTTGTAAATATATACAGTAAACAAGTCTGTACTTTTATGATGGACCTAATTTATGTGCTAGGTAAAAAGTATATCTTTTCAGCTGGGCACTGGTGACTTAATGCCTGTAATCCTAGCTGCTCAGAAGGCTGAGATCTGAGAATTATGGTTCATGGATAGCCCATGTGACTGAAGGCTGAGTATCTGAGGATTATGGTTCAGAGCTAGCCTATGCGACTCTTAACTACCCAAACTGGAAATGGAACTGTGGCTCAAAGTGGTAGAGCATTAGCCTTGAGAGCAAAATCTCAGAGACAGTGCCTAGGCCCTGAATTCAAGCCCCAGGACCATTACCACCACCCCCATCCTCACCCTCCCTCCCCCCAAAAATAGTGTACCCTTTCAATATATATTTCATGTTATTTGTTGTGTACCTTAAATAACTTTTACCTAAGCACTGCAATTTATGGCAACCATATTATGAAACTCTAGCATTGTCATCGCAGATAACTAGAGAGAAAAATCTGTAAAATAAAAATTTAATTTATAATTTAGATCAAGCTTTATAATAAGTCAAAACAATTTGTAACATTTACCTTATACCTTATATATGAGAAGCTTATATGATATATGTCTTCTGATTTGCCAGTTTTTAAAAACAATACATTTTGGATTTCAGTATAGATGAGCATATGAAGAACATCTTCATTCTTTCCTCATGGCAAAATGCCTATTAGTGGTTGAGTTTCTCACCATAGTAATACAGTAATTTTATTTCTTATGGTATTTAATATTTGATGCTGTAATAAAACATACCAAAATACAATCAACTGGACCTACCAAAAGCTTTGAGTGTTTGGATAGTCTCTTAATTAGTGGCATAGGGACACAGATTTTTTTTTAAACTAGTGGATCCTCTTTTAAGTCTCCTGGATTGTTGGCATTAAGCCAGAGAGTAAGTAAGAGAATTAATAGATGTACTGTTATGATCATTACACCATTATATATCCTTACCTGACTGTACAGGAAGCTACACAATGTAGTCACCTTCATGCTCAGGAAGTGGGAACAAAGTGGATATTGGTGAATCCTAAGAGTCTCTAATATAGTCAAGTATATAGTCAGTAGATATTCTATATAATATGATTCTACATGCTTAATGTTTGTTTAGTTCTGAATTGTAACTTGGACAAAATTAAAAATGTTTAAATTTAATGTCTTCTAGACACAGATAACAGAACTCTAAACGTAAGATTGAGTTACTGCTTATATCACATATAGATATTGAAATTTTTGTAGTTATGAAAATTTTAAGATGAAACATGAAGTTTACTTGCCTGTAGAGAGAGTTAAATATATTTCTTCCTCTCATTTTCAGCCTCTACATAAGAGCCTAGATCCAAGCAACCTGGAACACCTTATAACACCATTGGTTACTATTGGTCATATTGCCCTTCTTGCACCTGATCAGTTTGCTGCTCCTTTGAAGTCTTTGGTGGCTACATTCATTGTGAAAGATCTTCTCATGAATGATCGGGTAATTTATCTTTTTATACTTGTATTCTTCTTGATGTAATGTTATAAAATTTTATATAGTAAGAAAAGAAGGGAAATGACATTATGATACATTATGAAATGATAAAGTGCACTTCCGTTTGATTGCTTTTAAGTTTTTAAATTTTTTTAAAGCACACTGTGAATTTTAATTATATATATAATGGCATTGAGACGTCTTTTTAGTTGAGCATAGGTATATAACCTGACATACATCCTTTGATAAATACAAAATGTTACTTGATTGTGTCACAGGAGGTATTTCTGTTACAGGAGGTTAATTTGTATAGGACTCCTTCCTCCCTTTTTTTAATGTACAGATTGACCTACCATTTCACAGTATGTTTGTCATGACTATAATAATTCCTTTTCTTACATACGCTGAAGAATGAAAAGAGCCTTAGAGAAAGCATTGAGATAAAGATAAAGTTTCTTTTTAAAAAATGAAATAAAATTCTTAAGATGTGCAGCTATATAGCCACATATATCATAGCCATTATTGTTCTTCAATCTCAACAAAACATTTTATTTTTATTATGATTATCAGCATATATTCTACATATTAATGGAATTTACTGTCATATTTCCATATGGACAAACATTGTGCATTGATCTGTCCGTCCACTTTTCTTCTATCTCCTCTCCTCTGTCTGACACAGCCTTTCTTCAGTCTGTCTCCTAGCCCCTAGTATTCCTACTTAGAATTCATCTGTCGTCGTCGTTGTCATTGTTGTTGTTGGTTGTGTGCCAGGTAGCGCGCTCTTACTAGGCAGTCACTTTACCAGTGGAGCCTTGCCTCCAGCCCTCTCCCCCTGTCCCTTTTTTTGTTCTGGTTATTTTTGAGATAGGGTCTTGCTTACTGCCAGGGTGTGCACCTGGACTGTACTCCACCTACTTTAGGCTTCTAGTTGTAGTACATCATACCCAGCTTTCAATTGAGAAGGGATCTCATGAGCTTTTGTACCTTTGCTGGCCTCCTAATCTCAAGCCTGTCAAGCAGGTAATATTAGAGGCATGACCCTCTGGAATCCTCCCTCCTTCCCTTCCCTCTCTCCCTTTTTCATACATATACATATGTTATTTTTATTATATTCATCCTCATTCATACATTTTATTTGAGCTCTTTCCTCTCACTAATGTTCCAACTGCAGACAGGACCTGCTGTATATTCTTTCATGTTCTTTTCTTTGTGTTTGCTAATTGTCAAAGCGGTTTCACTTTGGTGTGTTACACATGTACATATAGTATTTACTCATATTCAGTATTACTCATACAGGTTTACTCTTTCCTTTCCCTACTACTTCCCATTATTCAACAACTTTCAGTGAGTTTGCTACTTTCATTGATAGTTGCAGTGTATTTCAGTACTTTTCATTGTTTGACATTCTTCTCATCTATAGTCTTCTCAAATAGTTGTACCATAATTTCTGTATCCATTCATCTGTTGTTGGAAGCCTAGGCTGATTCCATTTCTTAGCTACTGTGAATAGTGCTACTATTAAGCACAGGTATGCAGGTTTTCATTTTGTTCAGATACATACCCAGGTGAGGTGTAACAAGAGCCTATAAAAATTTAATTGTTAGTTTTCTTGAGGGCCTTCTATACTGTACATACAGAAGTTGTTGCTAATTTATATTCCTACAACTGTATGGCTTTCTTTTTTCCCACATACCAGCTTTTTTTTTTTTTTTTTTTTGTCAGTCATGGGGCTTGAACTCTGGGCCTGGGCGCTGTCCCTGAGCTCTTCAACTCAAAGCAAGCACTCTATGACTTGAGCCACAGCACCACTTCTGGTTTTCTGGTGGTTAATTGGAGACAAGAGTCTCATGGACTTTCCTGCCCGGGCTGGATTTGAACTGAGATGCTCAGGTCTCAGCCTCCTGGGTAGCTAGGATTATAGGTGTGAGCCACCACCGCCTGTCTCATACTAGCATTTTTTGGAGTGGGTGGTAGCTATTCTAGATGGTATGAGATGAAATCTCATTGTAGCATTAATTTCCATTTTCCTTAAGACTAATGATACCGAACATTTTTATATACTTATTGACCATTTGTATATATTCTTTTGAGAAGTGTCTGTTAAGAACATTTGTTCATCATTATATTTGAACAACTTGTTTCTTTGTTAAGTTCATCATGTATTTTGGACCTCAATCCTTGATTGAATGGCAGAGATTCAGTATGATCGTTAGGTTGTCTCTTTGCTTTTAGTTTTTTCCTTTGCTATGAACTTTTTAAATGGATATAATATCTTTTGTTAATTTCTGCTGTTTTGTTTCTTATGCTTTTGGGTCCTGTCTAGAAATGTGTGTGTGTGTGTGTGTGTGTGTGTGTGTGTGTGTGTGTGTGTGTGTGTGTGTGTGTGTGTGTATGTAATAGTGGGATTAAACTCAGGGCTTTATACTTGCGAGGGAGGTGCTGTCAACCACTTGAGCCAAACCTTCACTCTACCCTCACTTCCCTTGTATGTTGCTTATTTTGCAGGCAGGTTTATGTCTTGGCTAGCCTGGCTGCCATCTTCCTATTTATGCTTTCCTTTATTGCTGGAGATTGTAGATGAGAACCATTACTGTAATAACAGATTTAAATTCATTTTCCTGGCAGGTCCCAAATCATAGTCCCCCAGCCTCTACCTGCCAAGTAACTAGAATTATAGTCTTGATCCACTGAACTCAGCTATATCCAGGAAAACTTTCCCTGTGCCAGTATATTTCCTTTCTTTCTCTCTCCTACATATGTACATTGAATATTATAACTGTATTTTGTCACCATTCCTCTGCCCTCTTTCCTTGACCTTTCCTACAAATAATTTTTTTGGCCAAGAAGTTCCTTTTTGTGTGTATATTTTCTTGCTGTAGTATAATTTCCTTCTTTTCCTTTCTGTTCCATTCCTTTTTGTGCCAGTCCTAGAACTTGAACCAGGGCCTTGGCACTGCCCCCTGAGCTTTTTGGCTGAAGTTCAGCATTCTGCCATTTGAGTTATAGCTCCACTTCTGGCGTTTTAGTGCTTAATTGGAGATTTAAGAGCCTGCCCAGGCTGGCTTTGAACTGTAATCCTCAGATCTCAGCCTCCTGAGTAGCTAGGATTATAGGCGTGAGCCACCAGTGTCTGGCTTCCCCATCTCAGCTTTGGAGTTAACCATTTTTCTGACTTTTACATTTATTATATCTAGTTTTGAGGTTTTATAAATAAGATTTTTGCCAAATTGTTTTGTCTAGCTTTCTTTACACAATATTATGTTTGTGAGATCAGCCCATGTTGTTACAGAACTTTGTTTCCATTTATTACTGCATCATTTGTGTATACCACTATGTGTCTGTTATTTTATAGCTATACATTCAAGTTATTTTGACTGTAACATTCTCTTGTGTATATTTTTGTACTTTTCTGTATGTACTTCTGTTGAGGGTAAGGCTCAGTTTTAATAGGTCTTTTTTCCCCAAATTGTTTTTCAAAATGGTCCTACACTTAGAATTTCTACCTGTACTGAATAAGGGTTGTAGTTTTATCCCTTCTATACTAAATATCCCAGTCCTTTATAACCATTTTGTAAGTGAGTAGTGAGTAGCATACTCTTGACCATGTTTTCATATACGTGTGGACATTGTAGGTCTCCTATTTTCTAAGGTTTCTGTTCAAGAACTCTATACATTTTTCTATTTAATTATGAATGTCTTACTAAGCTTCAGCTCTAAAAACACATTCTATTGATAATGTTTTGCACTCCACTCACTAGCCCTTCCCATTATATGTTTCAGATTTCTGATAACTATTTTCTTAAACTTTGTTGGTCAGGCACCAGTGGCTCACTCCTGTAATCCTAACTACTCAGGAGGATGAGCTCTGAGGATCATGGTTCTAAGCTAGTCTGGGTAGGAAAGTTCATAAGACTCTTATCTCTTAATTAACCACCAAGTAATCAGAAGTGAAACTGTGGCTAAATTGCTACTCACCTTGAGCAAAAAGCTCAGGGACAGAGTGTAGGCCCTGGATTTAAACCCCTAGAGCAGGGGCTGGGAAAGTGGCTCAGTGGTAGAGTGCTTGCCTTACATGCCTGAGGTTCCCTGGGTTCCATTCCTCAGCACCACATAAGCAAAAAGAAAAAAGCCGGAAGTGGCGTTGTGGCCCAGGCCCAGAGTTCAGGCTCCACGACCAGACACCTCCCCCCCCAAACAAAACAAAACAAAAATAAACTCCTAGAGCAGCACCCCTCTCAAACACCCAAAACAAACCCACATCAGTTGTTTACAGAGAATGCACCATGGAGTTTCATTCCTGAATGTACTATGCACATGATATACATATATATGCACATGACCCTGTATTTGCAAGAAAAATTGTATTTTGAGTCTAAGATTGGCCTATGCTGAGAAATCACATCTTCTCTCTCCGGGGTCTGGCTTATATCACTCAACATAACTTTTTCCAGATTCATCAATTTCCGTGCACGTGACATAATTTTATCTTCCATACTGTCTGATGAGATAGCTTTCTACTTTTTTTTCTTTGAAACATGGAAGGAGATTTATGTAATGTTTCTTTGAAATAAATAATAAATAAATAAATATATGTAAATATATGTATGCACTATGAGCATATATTTGAAAGTGTATTTATAGAAAAAGGTTTTTTGTTTTTTGTTTGTTGGTAATGGGGCTTGAACTCTGGGCCTGGGCACTGTCCCCTCAGCTCCTTAGCTCAAGGCTATCACTTTACCACTTGAGCCACAGCTCCACTTCTGGTTTTTTCTGAGTGGTTTATTGGAGATAAGAATCTTATGGACTTTCCAGACCGGGCTGGTTTTGATCCTCAGATCTCAGCCTCCTGAGTGGGTACGGGTACAGGCATGAGCCACCAGTATCCAGCTTCACTTTATTTTTTTATCCCCAGGACTTCAATTTAATTTTTTTCTAGATTTCTGACTCCTTGAGATCCTTTTTCATATCTTACACTGAACTTACTGTTTCTTAATGTCTCAAACTCTTTTAGATGTTTAACTCTTTTAGATGTGTAGTCTGAACTCATTTAGCTGTTTGTATTTACTTGATATTCATTTTTAAAAAATATATTCTCACACTCTTTGATGGTGTTCTTTCTGTGTTTATGTAGGTGCTTATAAACGACTCCTTAGAATTTGTGGATTGTTCTTACCATTCTTTTAAGCTCTCTGTGTGGTCTTTTCTCCACTTCATTGTCATTCTGAGCCTCATGTTATTAATGATCTCTAGTGGTGTATAGTATGTAATTTTCTCATATCTCTTGTATTTCTATGTTGGGATTTACACATCTGAGGACAACTCATTTTGGTCTTTAGACTCCTGAGGTCTTCTCATTGGGTTAATTTTTGTATTCTTACAGGAGTGGGTGTTAATTGGTTGATGTACTATTTTTTGCCTTAGTGTGGAGGTATATCACAGCTCTAATTAGTTCCAGTTCAAAACACAGATTAACTTTAAGCAATAAAATACCATTATATATGCTAGAGGCTAAAGATTTTGGTACTGTAGGTGTTAGAAAGATAAGGATACTATGTGCAGGTATTATTACTTAGCTATTGAGAGTAGGGATGGTGAGGGAAGGCTATATAGATTGTAGAAGTTGAGATCCAGAGTTATAGAATGTGAGGTTGTGCAAAACGTTAGTAAAGATAAGAGTTAATACTTTGGGGGGGAGGAGGGAGGAGTGTGGGAGGTGGAGGAGGGAAGGGATAGTGGGAGAACAACAAAAAAGGGGGTAACAATACTTGACAAGAAATGTGTTCATTACGTTATTCATGTAACTATAACCCCTCTGTACAGCATCTTTACAAGAAAATAAAATTTTTAAAAAAGATAATAATAAAGATAGGGGGAAGTGAGACACATTACCAGTGAGAATTAAGAGGCTTTTTTTTTTAAGTCATATTTTCTTTCCACCTACTCTTCTCTTGTAATAGGACCTGGACTAATTCAGTTATTCCAGGTATGAGGAGAGAGTACTCAGGTTGCTTTATGTGCGTTCTGGTTAAGGATTATTCCCCCTTCCTCCCCATGTCCCAAGTTGTCTTTGTCTCTTGTGATATAGATGATCACCTCAAATCTCTATCCTTTGAATTTCTACCTTCCTTGTAACTGGAGATCTAACCATATTGTGGTTTCAATACTCAGTGACAGCTGACAGACACATATACTATTCCTGATTAAGTAGTAGACTTTTTATATAAAGTTGAAGATTTGTATGCTGGTATCTTGAACCTTATAACCCTAGCTATTCAGGCGGCTGAAATCTAAGGATTCTGGTTCTTTCTGCCCTTGTCTGCGCAGACAAATATGAGAGATTCTTATCTCCAATTAACCAGCAAAAGAACAGGAACTAGAGGTGGGGTTCAAGTGGTAGAGTACCAGGTGTGAGTAATAAAAGCTCAGCAACGCTCAAGTTCACCAAGTTCAAGAGATCTTGAGCCTTGGGACTTGCATGCATGTACACACACGTACTTATTCTTTCTCCCTCCCCCCCTTCTCTCTGTAATTTGAGAGTTTGAATGAGTATATTCTTCCAGTGAAGAAGTTTTGCTTATTCTTGGTTGCTTGCTTTTAAGGATAATTCTTGTTATTAAATTTAGCTATAGTTCTTTGACTCATTAACCTCTTTATGCATTATTCCATGGGAAATTCTCAAATTTATTCTCAGTGGATTTTGGCACATTTCCATTTCCATCCCTTTTTTGAAAAGCTCTGCTATGAATGTGTTCACCTTTGATGATAAGAATTCTTTGTTTCAAATTACTGGCTACATAAATTTTAAAGCATTTTTTTAAAGTATTTGATTTCTGAAGTGTGTGTCTGGGTGTATTATTGATAGCTTCCTTCATAAAAGCTTTTGTGGGTTCTTTTTGTTTTTTTTTTGTTGGTCATGGATCTGGGCCTGGGCACTGTCCTTGAGCTCTTCAGCTCAAGGCTTGAGCCACAGCTCCACTTCTGGTTTTCTGGGGGTTTATTGGAGATAAGAGTTTCATGGACTTTCCAGTCCAGGCTGGCTTTGAACCATGATCCTCAGATCTCAGCCTACTGGGTAGCTAGGTTACAGGTGTGAGCCACCGGTGCCTGGCTAGCTTTTGTGTTCTTCATGACATCTTTAGTTCAGAAATTTTACCAGAATGAGCCTAACATGATTCTGTTCTCATTTTTTTTCTTCTTCATACTTTAAAGGCATATCTCAACTAATGAAATGGGCCTAAATCTTTAAGTGTGTATGTTTAGGGGAGTTTGCCTTACTAGATTTGGAATTACCTGCTTTGTTGCCATAAGGTTATCTGATATAAACTGAATTCCTTGTTTCCTGGCCTGTGTATGAAAATGGGATGTCAAACTTCAAGTTTGACTCCATTTCCTGGCAGCTCACCTAAATTCCGTCTCCCACAAACTTCAGGTTACTTCAGGATTATTTTTTTGTGTTTCCTTCTCTGGAAATGGTTTAAACGTTTCTTTCATAGTTCTCCTTTTTAGAAATCAGCTTTTTAATGGAAAGAGACAATGTTGCTTTTCTTTCTGCTATTTAATAAAGATATTCCAGGTTTTAAGAATGGACTTATTTTGCCCATTGTATTAAAGAACACTTGCTATTCTTTAAAAAAATATGGCCTATAATTCCTTGAGTAACGCATTATATATAAAATACTGCTTATAAGTGGTTTATAGATAAACTGTTTTATGATCTATAGTGTAGACTTCATTTCAATCTGCCAAGATGTAGAAGGTCAAGGACAAATACACAAAATTTTGATGTTTTTCTAGTTGGAAGTTCTGTTCACTCTTCTGGGCTTTGTGTGCTTGTGTTCTATGAGTTACAGTTTCAGATTCTATATCTCTGTGACCTTGTGAAACAACTTTTTGGAAGTGTAACCTTTCCAGTTCTGTTTTTATTTTATTCTACATTTTGTGTTTTCCAAAAGTTTCGTGATTTTGGCAGCCCCCAGGAAAATACTAATGTATATCTTTTGCTGCTCATCTTGACCTTGAAATATACCTGACTTTTTTCCCCTGCTTAAGATTTCTAGAAATAGTTTTTTTCTTACTTAAAAACTACACTGCTAGCTGGCATTGGTGGCTCACACCTGTAATCCTAGCTACTCAGGAGGATGAGATCTGAGAGGATTGCGGTTCTGAGCCAGCCTGAGCAGGAAGGTCTGAGAGACTCTTACCTCCAGTAAACTACCTGAAAAAAAGTCAGAAGTGGAGCTCTGGCTCAAGTGGTAGAGTGCTATCCTTGACCAAAGAAGCTCAGGGACAGCACACAGGCCCTGAGTACAAGCTCCAAGCCAGCACCACAAAAACACAGATAAAACCTATGCTCTGAGTCTGCTTGATGCCTTTAATTATTGAATAACCAGGAGGATCTACATATGGAAGTGTGTCCAGGAGGTTTAAATCAGTCCTGGGGTATTCTTACAAAAGATCATCTTGTGTGTTGAGTATTCTGAGTGCTAGTGAGAATATACCTTTCAACCTTTTTTAGTAAATAGATTAGATAAAAGTAGTTTAGCTATCACTATAAGAAGGTAAACATTTTACTAACAAATGAACACAAAAATTTATATTCATATTTTATGTCCTTTTTCCTTAGCTTCCAGGAAAAAAGACAACTAAACTTTGGGTTCCAGATGAAGAGGTTTCTCCTGAAACAATGGTCAAAGTAAGAAATACATATATTTGTTGAATTTTAATGTACTTACTATGTTATAATATTATTAAAGGTATTAGAATTTTTTAAAATAATTTTTTATTTAGATTAAGTGATTACATAAATTTCACAAGTTTCACAATATTGAAGGATAGTGATACTTAAAGTCAAAGTTAAACACAGTAGAATTTTTAAGTCTGTTGGAAATATATAGCTACTAAAAGCACTGAGGTATTTATATTTATTGTGTACCATCGTTTATATTGTGAGTGTAGGGTAGTAATGAGCAACTAGGGCCATGTGGGTAGCAGCATATAATCTAATTTGAGGGGAAAAATGGTTTAAAAGTTTTTTCATAGTTCTTCGTTTTAGAAATCAGCTTTTTAATGAGGGGAAAATGTTTAAAAATTTTTTTTATAGTTTTGCATTTTAGAAATCAGCTTTTAATGCAAAGAGACAATGTTGCTTTTCTTTCTATTATTTAGTAAAGATGATAATCCAGATTTTAAAGATGGACTTATCTTTCCCATGGTATTAAAGAAAACTTGTTACTCTTTAAAAAATATAGTCTATAATTCCTTGAGTAAGAGATTATAACTGTTATAACTGGTACATAGATAAACTATTTTATGATCTATAGTGTAGACTTCATTTCAATCTGCCAAGATGTGAAGGTCAAGGACAAATACACAAAATTTTGATGTTTTTCTAGTTGGAAGTTCTATTATTCACTCTTCTGGGCTTTGTGTGTTTGTGTTCTATAATATAAGCTACAGTTTCAGATTCTATATGTCTGTGACCCTGTGAAACAACCCTTTATCATTGCTAAATGATTTGGGTAACTTTTATTCCTAGTATAAGCCATTTTCTCAGTATTGGTCTCCAGCAGCAAGTTTGACGTAGTTGAGAGCAACACTACACAAGAAGTCATGCTACTGCACTTAAGTTCATGCTTACCAAATGCCCAGGAAAAAAAATCTTCCTGTCTGCAGTGTGCCAAAGACTGTTTAAGGCCATTTAAAGAGATAGTACATATATTACTTTTTAAGAGAGGTACTATGTACCCCTTCAAGAATGGGGTAAATTTAATACTGTATTGAACTAGTTATGTGCTTCCTGATTCTAAAATGTAGTATAAATGTGTTGTGTCTTAGACACAAAAGATTGAATATAACTGCAATTGGGATCTTAGCCTTTTTTCTGGTTAGGGAAATTCATATGCCTTTATTTCTAAGTTCTGAAGAGCAAGATACATGTTAGGGAAACATTACAAAAAATAATGAAAAAACTAGTATTGCAATGAAAAAAAATTTTCACTCCCTTGGATGAAACATCTTTAAAATATTCAGTTATCTTTATGTATATAGAATTTTTTTTTCCCTTAAAAACATTTCTTTTTTGGGCTGGGAAGGTGGCTCAGTGGTAGAGCGCTTGCCTTGCATGCCTGAGGCCCTGGGTTCGATTCCCCAGCACCACATGAGCAAAAAGAAAAAAAGCCGGAAGTGGCACTGTGACTCAAGTGGTAGAACGCTAGCCTTGAGCTGAAGAGCTGAGGGACAGTGCCCAGGCCCAGAGTTCAGGCCCCACGATCGGATTAAAAAAAACCATTTCTTTTTTTTTTTTTTTTAGGATGATTTGGAAATTCTTTTATCTGTAGTAACAGTTTTATTTGTGAATTTGTATTTTAAACAGATTCAAGCTATTAAAATGATGGTTCGATGGCTACTTGGAATGAAAAATAATCACAGTAAATCTGGAACCTCTACCTTAAGATTGCTAACAACAATACTGCATAGTGATGGAGACTTGACAGAACAGGGGAAAATTAGGTATGAAACCATTACCTCAAAGTCTTTGGATTTCAGAGTATTTGAACCCTTGACATAACTGTTAGTTTCTTTTTTAAGATTTTTTTAAATTGTAACGATAATGTACAACAGGATTAAAGTTATATAAGTAAGGTAATGAGTACATTTCTTATTTAGTATTGTTACCCCTCCTTTGTATTGCACTTTTGGTAGGCATCTATATTTTGCTGTAATATCCTTTTTATTCAGTATTCACTGATTTCAAAATGATCTCAGCATGTCTAGTACGAAGTACTGCTATGCTATATATTCCAAATACTTTAAACAGTGGATTCTTGCTTTTTGGAATATCTAATGTGTAGTTTGTTAGTCTACGAATCATTCTTGAAAAGGGAAAAGAATGGACACTGTGGAAGGTAACTTTAAATCTATATCTGCAAAAAAGCTAACTGCAAATTATAAGTTGTTTAATTTTTTATAATGTATGCCCTTTCTTATTTCCATGTTTTTGTTTGAATAATTAAATATAGTAGGCCATCAGTATACTTGAGTTTTACATCTGTGGGTTCAACTAAATCTGTGTGTGTTTCCTGGTCCCTGGGGCTTAAACTTAGGGCCTGGGTGCTGTCCCTGAGCCTCTTTGTTCCAGGCTAGTGCTCTACCACTTGAGTCCCAGCATTACTTCCAGCTTTGTCTTAGTAATTAATTAGAGATAAGACTCTCATTGACTTTTCTGCCTGGGCTGGTTTCAAATTGCAATCCTTAGATCACAGCCTTCTGAGTAGTTAGGATTGCAGGTGTGAACTACTGGTGCCCAGTTGGAGTTTATATTTTTAAATGTATAAGGATGTTGCATTGGTATCTATCACATATTGTTGTGTTAGTTGTGTGCTCAGAAACCTGTTTAAGAACAGTTAGGGGCTACCTGGAGTTAGGAGTAATAGGGATTCCTGATAGAAAAAAAAACACTTGGGGTTAGCTGTGGGAAGAAGGGGGTTCTGTTCTTTGTTTTAATAAAAAGCTTGATGTTAGTTGGGCGCTGGCCTCTCACACATGTAATCCTAGCTACTCAGGAGGCTGAGATCTCGGATCACAGTTCAAAGCCATCCCAGGCAGAAAAGCCCATGAGACTCATCTCCAGTTATCCACCAGAAAACGGGAAGTGGCGCTGTGGCTCAAGTGGTAGAGTGCTTGCCTTGAGCTGAAGAGTGAGGGACCCAGAGTTCAAGCCCCACGACTATCAAAAAACAAAAAGAGGGCTGGGAAGGTGGCTCAGTGGTAGAGCGCTTGCCTTGCATGCTCGAGGCCCTGGGTTCGACTCCTCAGCACCATATAAGCAAAAAGAAAAAAGCCGGAAGTGGCGCTGTGGCTCAAGTGGTAGAGCGCTAGCCTTGAGCTGAAGAACTGAGGGACAGTGCCCAGGCCCAGAGACCGGACCCAAAAAAAAAAAAACAACTTGATTTCTTTGATGAACAATTTTTACTTTATAAAGTTAAAAACAAAAAAAAAAAACTGCATTAAGTAGAAATCCCAGACTAGATGCAAGTTTTTAAGGACAATATATGGGAAACACTTATTACCCACGCCTGTGAGGAATAACTTCCAACCACGGGTTTTTGTATGTTTTGATCTAAGTACTGTGATTTACCTATTAACAGCCTCTTGGCTTATTGCTAATGATTAACTAAAAAGCATCTTTGGGATGTATTCTCCAATACAGCACCATAATGTTGGCATGCATTTAATTAATTTAATTTTAATTAATGCATTTAATTAATTAATGCATTTTAATTAATTTAAAGATTTAAGATTTAAAGAAGTCTTTAACTAGCTAGCTGGGTGCTGGTGACTCATGCCTGAAATCCTCGCTACTCAGGAAGCTGAGATATGAGGACTGCAGTTCAGAGCCAGCCTGGGCAGGAAAATCTCCAATTATCCATCAAAAAACTGGAAGTGGTAATGTGGCTCAAAGTGGTAGAGTGCTAGTCTTGAGCAAAAAGCCCAGGCCCTATATGTAAGCCCTGCACCACCAAAAAAAGTCTTTTAGCTAGATTATATGTCAGAAGAGTAAATTGACTTCTTTTAAACTCCCTTAGTGCTTTATATATAATAGATGCATATTTGTTATGTGAATGTTGGATGTTCCTTTGCTATAGAGTTATAAGTTGATCTTAATTAGAATTTTTCCTTCCTTAACATTATCTAAGATATCTGTAGTTGAACTAAGGTATCACTATATTAGGGAAGAATTGTTTTTGATGAGGAGTGGTGCTGGGATTTCAACTTGAGGGCTTTACACCTCCAGCTTTAAACTTTTCAGATAGGAATCTCACTTTTTTTGAGGGGAGGGGTGGTCGGTCCTGGGGCTTGAACTCTAGGCTTGGGTGCTATTCCTGCACTCTTCAGCTCAAGGAGAACGCTTGAGCCACAGTGCCACTTCCGGTTTTCTAGTGGTTTATTGGAGATAAGAGTCTCATGGACTTTCACATTTTTTTGCTGAGATGGGTCTTTGACCACTATCCTCCTACATACATAATGAAGGCCTCCTATGTAACTGAGATTACAGGTGTACTTTACTTTGAGTCTTGCTAACTCTGACCAGACTGAACTTGAACCATGATAATTGGCATGAGCCCCTCCACCCAACTAGGAATGTTCTGGTCTAGAATTTTCTGAAATGTACTCCATTGAGCAATTTCCGTATGCTGAAAAGAGCTTTTCAGTAATATTTGAATAGTGAAGAAAATAGTGGTGTTTATCAACTACACATGCTTTCATTATATCTCTTGTGCTTTGTATAGTATTTGAAGTAATATATTGAGGCAGTTGAAGTAATATCAAGTTAGGACTTTACTACTGCTAACATGGACTTAACATTATAAGGAGAATTTTTTACAGTATGAAATCTCATCTTCCAAAGTTTGGTAAACATAATTTATGGCACTTTGTTACTGAGACATTGTCTTAGTCTATTCTGGCTACTATAACAAGAAACCATAGATTTGTTAGCTTATAAATAACAGAAATTGGAAGGCCAGAGTGCCAGTATTGCACCCCTGTATATTTTCACATGGCAGAGGATAAACTCCTTCAGACTTCTTGTATAAGAGCGTTAATTCCGTTCTTGGGGGGAATCTGTCCCCATGGCCTAATTGCCTTCCCTAGACCTCACTTTCTAATGCTCTCAACTTGGCCATTAGGATTTTGACATAACATTTGAGGAAATGAGATACTCAGACCATAGCATTTTTCTACTTTCTTTTTTTGCTAGAAGAATATTTATAAAATTAAATGTAGAACAGAGTAGCGATTTTGTACAAACACTTATCATGTCCTTCCTGCTTATTTTCCAGTAAACCAGATATGTCACGCCTAAGACTCGCTGCTGGGAGTGCTATTGTGAAACTAGCTCAAGAACCCTGTTACCATGAAATCATCACATTGGAGCAATATCAGCTGTGTGCATTAGCTATCAATGTAAGAAAACCACCAGATAAGATAGAACTTTATATGGTCTGTATTAGGAAGAAATGTTCACTATGATACATCAAAATTGTAAATGATTTTCATTTTGTATGTGTATGTTTTAACGTATGAGAAACATTTCCATTTTTAAATAGTCATTTGAGTTTTGGGCTTTTGATATAGTGTAGTCAGCTTCTTATTCTCAGTTGTTCTAGTTTATGAAGTCACTCCTCTAATATAGTGTAGTCAACTTCTTTCTTTTGTCGGTCATTGGGCTTGAACTCTTGGCTTGGGCACTATCCCTCAGCTCTTCAGCTCAAGGCGAGCGCTCTACTGCTTGAGCTACAGGGCCACTTCTGGTTTTCTCGTGGTTTATTGTAGATAAAAGTCTGACAGACTTTCCTGCCCTGGCTGGCTTTGAACCTAGATCCTCAGATCTCAGCCTCTGAGTAGCTAGGATTACAGGCGTGAGCCACCAGCACCCAGCTAGTGTAGTCAACTTCTTATTCTCAGTTGCTCTAGTTTATAAAGTCACTCCAAGTACTTAATTAGCATGTACTAAACCACTGCACCTAAGGAAAGTAAATAATAAGGGTATCTTCAGTGCTGTGTTTACAGATTTTTTTATTTGACTAATCTATTTGTTTAAAGACAACTTCATTTAATATATATGCAAAGCTATTTCTGTAACTCTAAACTAGCTCAGACCTCACCAAAGCTTAAATAGTACATGAATTTTCTTTGTAAGATGCATCATGACCTTCTTATGCTTAGGACCACCAGAAAGCATTTTATTACATGTTTAGAACTTGTTTTAATTTTCAGAATCACAAGCAAGATAAGATAATGTGAAAGGAGTAGCACAGAAGAGGTCACTCACTTTGAGAGCTAAGACCGTGGATTAGTTCATCTTTCATGTTAGCTGGGGACATTCCTATCAGACTACTCATTTTTTCTGCTTTGCACATCTCCTTGCTCCTGACTATAACATTGCTACAAGTATTGAGTTTTTGAACTTCAAATAAATGAGAGACAAATTTACAGATTTCTTAGAGTAATTTTTATTTTTTAACTATATTATTTTAGAAGTTTCAGTTTGAGAAAACTAAAGCAAAAGGACTTTTATAATAGTTCAGATAATATTCTAATGAATTTTTCAGCCATCATTTGATCATTTTACCCTGAGTTTTTGTTTTAAGAATTTGACACTGGTTTCAGGAACCATTGTGATTATTATTTCTATCCATTCTTTCACACATCTTTCTTTATATTGTTTATTTAAAAATAATTATTTGTGTATAATATCTAAGCAGGTTTTTTTCCCCCTCCAGTACTGGGGTTTGAACTCAGGAGCTTGTACTTCCTGCTACCTGTTCCTCCTCCTTGCTGTTTGTTGCCCAGGCTAGCCTTGAATCATGATCTTCCCAGTGTTTGCTTGCTGTGTGGTTTAGATTACTGGCATGTGCCTCTATGCTTAGCCAATCACGTAGGCCTTTTTTTTTTTTTTTCCTCCAGTCTTGGGGCGTGAACTGAGGGCCGGGTACTCTTCCTGAGCTTCTTTTGCTCAAGGCTTGTATTCTGCCATGTGAACCATAGAGCCACTTGTAGCTTTTTCTGTTTATGTAGTACTGAGGAATTGAACCCAGGGCTTCATGCATGCTAGTCAAGCACTCTACCACTAAGGCACATTCCAGCCCATCATGTAGTTGTTTTGTTTTTTAATTTGAGATACCTGTTTATTTGAACTGGACAAAATTATAGGATCATACATCTAATAGGATGAATCAGAAAATATACAATATACCATGGAAAATCTTTCTTGTGTTTTATTAGACTGGCATGATTTAAAGTATAGATAAACCTTTTAAAAATCCTTTTTATGTAACTATTTTGCAGGGCTGTTTCTACAGATTTTACTTTAATTCTTTGATTAAGTTCCCAGGCATGGACTGTGAAGACAAGCAGAATTGAGCTCTTCCTCTTACTCATATTTTCCCTCTGTTCTTAAACTCAGTTTACCTATCTCCACAATCGGGAAAAATGCAGAGGTACCATAAGATAGTTTAAAAGAAACTTTTCATTTACTGGACTTAGCATAGCCTACCACAAGATAAGAGCTGAAGAGGGAATCTCAATAACTCAAGTGCTTAGTTCAGAGGACTATATATAATGAAGCATATTAACGTGAACTCCAACTTATGGAACAAGAGGTTTCCATTAGACCCTGTATATAGTTCATTCTTTTCCCTCTATTGTTGTTTTTTTCTTCATTTCTCTTAGCTTTTTGTATCTCGTGTTTTGCATAATAGACAATGCAATATGTGAAAGGGCGAGGGAATCACAGAAACAGCAGAACAACTGATGAACCACAACAACATTGATACTTACTTGACACTATGGGATATGAACATTACAACTTGTGGGGAGGGAGGTAGGGGTTGGGTAGGGAGGGAGAAATGGGAGAGAATGAGGGAGATAAAGATTAAAAACAAATATTGCCTTTGTGTAGTTTTGAATTGTTATCTTTTGGCTAATTTTGGTCTTTAATTGCTGTTCATAATCCTGTTTTGAATATATTTAAGTTTTGCTGTTGTTGAAATAAGATTTGGAAGAGCCAATTAACTTCCTGGTTTAATTTTCCCATTTGTATTTTGGAGATCATCTTACTTTGTTAGAAACTGAAAATTGTTTAAACAGTTTATACTACATTTCTTCAAAGAAAATAAAACTGTATTTTTAAATTGGCAAAACTTGAAGTCTACTCATCTTGCAGGTTCTTGGTTTGATATTAAGAATACTATTGATAATATTATTGAAGTGGAAATTTCCAAAACTAAGTATGGAAATATATTTTTAAAAGATAGGCATTGCTTTAGAAAAAGATGGGGTTTGTTTAAAACTTAAGGATGTGCAGATAGTTAAATGTTTCTTTGCAATGTTTGTTAAACAGCTCTAATTTAGTCACCATGTATCTAAAATTAAAGTACAAATTGCTTAATTTTCCATATTTTTAGAATGACTATGAAACACATATTAATGGTTAAAAGCTAATTATTAGCATCTTCACACAACTTGTATTCTCATTCTAAACAAAACTTTCTGCTAATTCTGCTATTCCTTTAAATCACAGTGCTGTCTCCTTTATTTTTTAAAAGAAATTAGTATATGTACCTTTGTCTCTCTTAACCTAACCCTTTTCACTGTTCATATTACAGTCTTTGTCTTCATTGCTTTGCCCAATTGTTCAGTGATCTTAGTTTTCCTTGTCTTTTGGAGATATTTAACACAGTGCTGTGCTCTATTATTCTTGAATTTCTTTTCTTTATTTCTGTCTCTTGATTTCTAACAGTATTTTATGGCTTCTCCTCTTTTCCTTTAATTTCATGTTCTTTTTAGTTTTGTTTGTTTCTGTGCTAGTACTGGAGTTTGAACCCCTCTGTTGTTTGAACACAAGTACACACTGGAAATTCTTGTTTAGGGCTAGAGGCACGGTTTAAGTGGTAGAGTGCATACTTCATACGTGATAGAACTTTCTGTTGCTCCCATGAGGGTAATGCTTGGAATAATTATATCTTTACAGGATGAATGTTACCAAGTAAGACAGGTGTTTGCTCAGAAACTTCACAAAGGCCTTTCCCGATTACGGCTTCCACTTGAGTATATGGCAATCTGTGCACTTTGTGCAAAAGATCCTGTAAAAGAGAGACGGGCCCATGCTAGACAGTGCCTGGTAAAAAACATTAATGTAAGACGTGAATATCTAAAACAACATGCGGCTGTCAGTGGTAAGTAGAGAGAAAAAGTAAAATTTTCTACCTGCCAGAAAACTTTGATTGAATATTTTGTAGAATACAAATAATACTGTTACTTGTTACATTGTAATTGGCATTTGTTAGATAAGAGGTTAGCACTTTTTCATTAACTGTTTTTCATTTACTGTAAACCTCATTTAAAAAAATATGAATGCATGAGCATTTAAATTAAAACATATCTTCCGGTGTATATGACTAAATGGATGGAGAAAGTAAGTAGTGACATTGGAGGTACTTATAAGAGAACATTTATACATGTATATAGATTGTATAAGCATTGCCTTGTAGTTGAGAAACCACAAGTCATCAGTCTTTGTTTTTTGCTTTTATCAGTAGCTAACATTAACAACAGATGCTCATATGCTTGCTTTTCATCAGTTTGCCTTACTCTGTCAAAGTTAGTATGCCTATTGACTCCTATAACTTGTTTTATATAATAAATAGTGTAGCATTAAAAAAATCTATTCACTTATCCAAGATAGAAATAGAGGCATTGATTATAATTTTTTTCTTTGCTCAGCAGTCACCAAATCTTGTTAGTCATTCCTCAAGATGTCTTGAAATCTGTTCCTTGCTCTAGTTCTTTGATAAATTTCACTTGGATTATTGTAGATACTTCAAATTGCCTTCCTGTTGTAAATGTTCCCTGCCTCTGTAACCCTTCCTGCCTTCCACTATGCCATACTGCTATTAAAATTGCCCTTGTAAAAGATCTGAATATCACTTCCTTGCGTTAAATAAATGTAGATTCTACACTTCAGGGTATGAAGTTGAAATATCTTTCGACTCTTCAGAGTTTGTGCTCAGCCTGAGTTTCACATTTTCTTTCTATCACTTCCTGCTTTGAATACTGTTCTGTGTACTCTAGGTCATTTGAAATTTGTGCAGCTGTCTTTTTGCCTTTAGACAACTCTATTTCAAAATTTTCTTTTCCTCCAGAGAAACAAACAGACAAAGCCAGGGAACATAGTTTACACCCTTGGAGTCTTTTAAACTAGCATTTTGATGTTAATGCATCACTCTACTGTTTCTTCTACTTCTTCAACTTGTGAACAGTGAGCACTCCATAGTCATATCCCACCTCTGTAATTCACTGGCTGTTTTTAGCAGGTTTATTTCATCTATAGTTTGCTTATTTTTAAACTTGATATAATAATATCTGCTTCTTACAATTGTTATGAAGATTAAAATATGATATGGATAAAACATGTGGCATAACAAATGGCACAACAAAGTTATCAGTAGATATAGTAGGTAGGCCACTTTTCACATCAGAATATAGCTTCAGCCTCTGTTTATGCTTTAGTGTGATCTTACTCATCTACTTTTAGCTTCTAACAAACATTAGAAAATTATAAGCAGTCAGTAAATATTTGATAGACTTTAATTTTAGTAGACAATTTGATAGAGCCTGGAATCTGAGCCTGGTTACTTCTCTTCTATGCTTGCTCTTTAATAGTATTACATAGAAACTGTTCTGTTCAAGTTTAGCAATGAAATGAACATTTGGTGCATTGTTGACACATAAGACATTATGCCTAAGTTTTTAATTTGAATATAATAAATATAAATAGAATTGTTTGAAATACAAATTACACTCTTTTGCATATTAACTACAATTAGTTAAATTTATCATTCTGACCTGTATAACAGCATTTGCCAATCTCAGTCAATATGGGAATACATTTGAATTTAGACTTTAAAGTTCTTTGTTATTTCAAATGTCCTAAAAAATCTATTCTTTTACATCTATTCGTGTGCTACAAATGATGGAATATTACTTTTTGTTTTTATGTCATTTTGACTCTGAAGGGTGTACTCTTGCTCACTAACTTATAGGAGAATATTAAACCTAAGGTTGCTTATATGATCAAGAAAAGAGGCTCTTATGTCTCTCAAACTTGCTATAGTTTCTATGGTTCACTTTTTCTATATGCATTTGAAAACTGAAACATTTGCTTTTGTAGTATAGCATGTGGTATAAGTAGGCATTTCAACATTGGATGTGACTGATAAGTGAACAAACTATCGTGTTCCTCAGCACAGGTATTTCAGTGTATTTCTTCTAAGCCTTGTTGTGGTAAACTATTCCAGTGCAGGAAATATAGGTGTGAAAGGCAGTGTGTAAGATTTGTTTTTCTAACCTGGATGTTTCATTTTGTTATTTCTTTTTCTTTTTCCTTTTCTTTTTCAGAAAAATTATTGTCTCTCCTACCAGAGTATGTTGTTCCATACACAATTCACCTTTTGGCACATGACCCCGATTATGTCAAAGTACAGGATATTGAACAACTTAAAGATGTGAAAGAGTAAGATTTTTTTTTCCATCCCATTTTCCTATTTTCTAAAAGTTTTTTTTTTCCTTACTGCTGATAGTGGAACTTCAATGATAATTAGTTAATGGATACATTTCCTTTCTTAGGAGTTTAAGCTTCTATTTACTCTCTTATTTGTCTTTTTCATATCATCTCTTCACATTATATTTCTTATGTAACTTTCTAAAACTTGATTTAACATAATTACTGTACTTTAATTCTGTTTCTCTGAAGAGTTTGTGGTAGCATTCCTTTTCCATTTGAAGTAATTCATTAAAAAGTTTTCATTCCAGTTTTTAATCTTCCTATTGCCTTCTGAAACCAGATTTTCATATGAAGTGAACCAATAATCTCCTTTGCTTACATAGTAAACACATTTTCTTTCCCTTTGCAGTAACTATCTTCCTCCATTAAAAAAAAGTTCTAATTTCATGATGAGCCAAATTCATAAACAGGGATGTAATCCACATTTGGTTTCATTGATGAAGTCAAATTAATTCTTTGTTCAAATTAGAACTTGGACATTGAAATTCTTTCAAAGATTATTGATGATAGATTGCAAGCACCACACCCTGTATGTAGAAAAAGTAGAAACCATATAGTAGTGTTTAGAGATAATTTTTTTGAGAATATTCATTAACTGAGCTCAAGGCCCTGGCCCTCTTTCTGTTAAAAAGAAAGATGACCTTTGTGATTTTGAATCAATTAATTTATTATGCTTTTAATAATTTAGGAAAGGAAAACAAGTCTTGGTTTCTCAATTCATAGCATTTTTCTGAGAAATCTCAGGAGAATAGAATTATATTTACTACTAACTTTGCATAACAAGGGGAAAAACTTAAACATTTTGCTTTACATATTTGTATTTCTATAAATATAAGCAAACAATTCTCTCAAGACTATTTCTTTATTAGAGTGGTTATAACTCATGAAAACTTACAGCCACCCTTCTTTATTTGTCTCGCAGACAACTATAAATAGACAACTATACTTAAAAAGACAGCTATATTTTGGATTCACTAGACAGTTTTGGTTGTCTTTGTAAATGGCCCTGATGTAGCTACAAATAACCTCCATTCTACTGAAGAGTTACTCCATAGGAACTTCTGTACCTATTATCCTAAAGGATATTTGTTTCTCTTCTAGAATAGTATCTTGCTTCACATTTCTGTGTTCTTTCTCTCATGAGTTTTCTCCTTCTCTATCTCTCTGTCTCTTTCTATGTAGTATAGAAAGTACTTGTGTTTTTTATTCAGTAGATTTTTTTTTGTAATTAAAACTGGGTTTCTGAAACTTTCTTTTCCTCATTAGGGAGACTGTAATTGTTGGCCATGGCTTTTTCCTAATTTATTAATGAAATTTTTAACTATTTAATGAAGTGGAACGTTCTGCTGAAGATTTCATCAAGCCTTGAGTCAGCTTGCATATGTGATGACTTCTTACTCCATGGCCTAACTATTCCTTGAGGCAGTTTTCCCTCACTGTCATGGTTTGAGATTGACATTCCTTCATTCTTTCCACCTGTTGTGTTTCCTTTGTAGCCTTCCTTCTTGGGGACTCTGTAAGACTTTAAAAAGGGGGATTATGAGGTAATGTGTGCTTTCTTCACTTATTGTAACATGGCCAAGTGGCATATACTGTTGTATCTTATTTGTAACTAAAATTTCTCTTGGGGTTATAATCTAGGTTCATTATATTAATGGTTAGAATTGTTTTGTCTGTATTAAACAAAGAAATTTTCTCTGTATTTCCTTCTTTCTTGTTTCTTTAGGTGTCTTTGGTTTGTTCTGGAAATATTAATGGCCAAAAATGAAAATAACAGTCATGCATTCATTAGAAAGATGGTCGAAAATATTAAACAAACAAAAGATGCCCAAGGACCAGATGATGCAAAAATGAATGAAGTATGTAATTCTTTGTGAATAATGCTAATTCTATGTTACTGTAAACATTTTAGGAATGAAACTAATATAATGTTATTTATAGATAATATCAGACTAATGCTAATTTAGTAGTAATGCTAATACTAGATCTAGTACTAATTAAGTACCACTGAGGATAACACAGATGATTACTTTCATTAGTTTTTTAGACTGGATACATATTCTAGTACTGTAGGAATTACAGAGTATAGGATACCAACTTATGTACCTAATTAAAAATATATCATTGCAGAAACTGTATACCGTGTGTGATGTTGCCATGAATATCATCATGTCAAAGAGCACCACATATAGTTTGGAATCTCCTAAAGACCCAGTACTACCAGCTCGATTTTTCACCCAACCTGACAAGGTAGTTAACTTTACTATTTGTATAAGTTGAAATAAAGTATATTCTTAACACCAGGTTGTAGAAGATCAGGAAGAGAGAATTGGTATCAGGAGTTGGCCCCATGACTAATAACATAGAAAGACTGTTAGGAGTTTAAAAAATGTGATTCTAAAATGAAACACGTTTTTTCAGAGGAGGGGTATCAGATGAAGGGAGAGAGGAGGGTAGGCAAATACAGCTATAATATTCTATATACATATGTGAAAATGGAGCCAGGCAAACAAATCAAGATGATCTAGTGTTCAATTTTAGGGTTTGAAGCTTTTAGTAAGAGCATGGCAAAAATGTGATCAAAGCCTACAGATTTGTGAATTGATGCTGTTGATCCAAAATGGGTAACTAGAATGTTACTAGAGATAATCTGAAATTATAAGCATTTGATTGGAGTTTACCCATTTGAAAATGCAGAGTGAACTCTAGATTAGGCTGGAGATAACTGTGGAACATTTAAAATGTTACCCAAGATTTAAGGATCTCTGCAAGAGTGTACATTTTTGTAATGCAGTCTCAGAGCTCCAGCATGTTAGAGCCCACATGTTTTATTAACATTGGAGGCAGTACAAGGTTAAGTTTTAGAAGTAATAAAATAGTAGGATAAGTAGAAATTTTGTGTTTAAATTGATAATCTTAAACACATACTTTAAAATGAAAAGGTGTTCTGGGCTTGGTTGTTTATTAAGTACCTTATTGAAAGATTGATTCAAGTTTTCACTGATTATTTCTTTTTCCCTTGCTTGTAGAATTTCAGTAACACCAAAAATTATCTGCCTCCAGAAATGAAGTCATTTTTCACTCCTGGAAAAGTATGTTTTGAGACTCATTTTGATTTTTATGTGGTAATTTTTTAATGTTTTTATTTAAAAATTTTGCACCTCAAGATAGCAACTATGTTTTATTTACTTGTAAGAACTTGTATTTATAGATACAAACTGAGATATATAAACTTATTTTTATTTAACTTACAATAAAGGCTAGGTCCCTACAGCTTCTTATCCTAATTTCAAAATGATAATCTTAAAAACATATGTTGTTCCATAGCAAGAGTCTAATCAATTTTTATGATTGACCATATAGTTCGTTTATTCTAACATTCTGTTCTTCTAAATTTTGTGTTTAAATCGATTAGGCCTATTTGTCTAAATAACTTAAAAACCTTAATTATTAATTGCTGCTATGTAGTTTGTTTGTTTTTAGATAGGGTAACTGTAGGTGATGCTGACTTCAAATTTGCAATCCTGCCTCAGCTTCCTTTGCTGGGATTATAGGTGCACATTTTCATGGACTATGCTAGCAAATAGTAGATTTAGGTGGGATGAAGAGTAAAGCAGCCTAATACTTGTACTAGCCTTCCAGCCAGCAAATAACCCACATTATTTTTTAATTTGTTCAAGTTATATTCTATTTATAATGTTCTATTTTTATGGTATGTATGTAAATACTTTAATAGACCTATTATTGATGTGTAAAATTTTAGTTTTAAACAAATAGAAATAAACATGTATTTCACATTTCAGCCAAAAACAACCAATGTCCTAGGAGCTGTTAATAAGCCACTTTCATCAGCAGGCAAGCAATCACAGACCAAATCATCACGAATGGAAACTGTAAGCAATGCAAGCAGCAGCTCAAACCCAAGCTCTCCTGGAAGAATAAAAGGGAGGCAAGTACATAAGAAATACCACTATTTATGTTTCACTATCCTAACACGCTGTGAACTCTAAAATCATTTTTAATCTCAGTTCAGTGGAGATTAATGAATAACTTTCCCATTGTAACTTTTAGAAATTCATAGTTAACCGGCTTTTCATTTTGGCCTGTTGAGATCATCTTACTTAACACACATCCAGTTCCTACCTCATTATCTAGCATTTATAAAATGGCTAAAATACAGTATATATACGTAGTAGAATTACGTAGTCATTAGAAGCGATGAGATCTGAGTTAGGATGGAACAGATTCCACAGTCCTCAGTGAGTGAGAACTGCAAGTGAGTTAGAGCAGTGTTGGAGGAGAAAGGATATATATTTACATATTTAAAATTTAATTTTATTGTCAAGATGATGTACAGTTACACATAAGGTACTAAGTACATTTCTTGTCAAACATTATTATTCCCTTCCTCATTTTTCTCCCACTTTCTCTCCCCGCCCCCTTACATTTGTTTTTGTTTTTTTTATTTGTTTTGTTTGTGTTTGTGTTTTTTGGTCCATCGTGGGGTTTGGGTGCTGCCCTTCAGCTCTTTAGCTCAAGGCTAATGCTCTACCACTTGAGCCATAGCGCCACTTCCAGCTTTTTCTGCTTGAGGAATTGAACCCAGGACCTCAGGCATGCAAGGCAAGCACTCTACCACTGAGCCACTTTCCCAGCCCCCTGCATTTGTTTTTATATGCATAGAAAGTTTTGGGAGGAATATATAAAATCTTAGCAAAGTTTATGATAACCTTATATAGGAGGGAGATTGTTTTTCTTCCATTTACTACAGTTTGAATTTCCTTTTACTATGTATATCCATAAACTTTTGTTTATAAAAATAATTTTAAAAATGATTTTTTTCTTTTTCAGAGGAAAATCTATTTTACTTACATAATGGCTAGAGATTGAGAATGTATAATAGTTTAAGTAACAGGCCATGGATGTAATAGAAGGCTAGACCTTTCATGAGAGCATGTGCTGTTAAATTTGTAACAAGTATTTGTTGAGTGCCTACTCTGTGCCAGGCACTTTAGCTTATATTGTACTTATCCTACATTGGTAAGCAAAATAGTGAACTTCCATGCTTACCTTCTAACCAACCGAAGCCAGGCAGTGAAAAAATAGAGTCATGCTATGTTACTGTATGGAGTGCAGCAGAGAGCAGCATAGGAGAAGAATAAGGGAGTGGCAACTTGCAGTGTAAGGCAGTCTAATGTACTAATAAGCATTCCAGTTTTCTTTATATCCATCTCAGAATTTAGATTTCAAAAAAACTGAGGAAAATGAACTTGTGATTTATTACTTTATTAAATGATTATAATAATAATTATAAATGTTTATATTAAAGGCTTGATAGTTCTGAAATGGATCACAGTGAAAATGAAGATTATACAATGTCTTCACCTTTGCCAGGAAAAAAAAGTGACAAGAGAGACGACTCTGATCTTGTAAGGGTGAGATACTTGGTTTGACTTTAATGATACTTCTAATAATTTACTATATAAATAGTAATTTTTATACTCTAGTTAACATCACTGCTGTATTTCATATTGTTTCAGTTAAATTTGTGTTGACAGATTTTCTCTACCATGTAACTTAACTATATTGAATTTGTATGATTTTTATCATTCTGGTAAGTGATTATAATTCTTAGGTCTTTGGAATTAAATAAGCCTTTTCCAATCCCAGAACCAGTTGGTTTTATTTGCTTTTTCTTCCCCCTCCTCTTCCCCCTGTTCCCCTTTGTCCCTTCCTCCCTTTTCTCCTTCTTTCCTTTCCCTCTGCCTCTCCCTTCTTCCCCTGCCCTCCCCTTCCTTTCCTCTTTCTCTAGCTCTCCTTTCTTTCCTCCCCTCCCCCCCCAATTTATTTAACACAGTATATTCAGACTTAGCCTTAAACGAGAATAAGGAATGGAATGAGATCCCAAAGGCTGCTCTTTTTACTGTTAATTTTTTGCAATATGTAGTAAATAAGCTGCTAGTAAAGGTACAAAAGAGTATAGTTGTTTTTTTGTTTGTCAGTCCAGTGCTTGAACTCCGTAGGCCTAGGTACTGTCTCTGAGCTTCTGTGCTCAAGGCTAGCATTCAACCATATGAGCCACAACTCCACTTTCTGTTTTGTTGGTGTTTAATTGGAGATAAGAGTTACACAGACTCTCTTGCTTGGGGCTGTCTTTGAACCATAATCCTCAAATCTAAGCCTCCTGAGTAGCTTAAATTAGAGATGTGAGGCACTGGTACCTGGCAAGAAGACTGTTTGGTCTTTAACAGAAATAACTTCTATAATATACAATTTGTATATTTAAAGACAAATTTGGCAATGCTTTGGTACAGGTATAAGCTATATATTCTAGTGTAACTCAGTGAAGTTAATAACTGATTCATTATGACTTTTCAGTTCAGCTCCAAACATTTCCTAAATAACTGCTTAGGCTTGCTGAATCAGTTTTCTATTCTGAAACTATGGCTAGTCAGCTGATTAGATTTGTCAAAATTTAGTGAATTGTTGCTGTCATTTCATCGTTGTTACAATGGTTCATACTTTTAGATAATGGGTTATTATAGTAATAGTTACTATGTTTTAATTGACTTGACAAATGGAGATAGGGATTAGCAATAAAATAATTATTTTATTTTTATTTAATTAAATTAATCAAAACAATTCAATTTTAATTTAAATTGATATTTTATTAATTTTCTTTTCTTTAGAATATTGCTTCCTTTCTTGCCTTCCATAGGCCTAACATTTAGGTCTTAATTATTATCAGGTTGTTTTCTTTCTACTTCAGGAAATACTACAATCTAAAGGTCTTCCTATTTATACTATAATTTATGATACTCATTACTTTTTTAAGGGTGTACATATTAATAATTTAGCTAGAAAGGAATTTTATTACCTAGTGTTATAGAGAGAATCTTTTTTTTTTGGTCTGGTTGTGTGCCTGAATTCTGAGCCTGCGCACTGTCCCTCAGCTCTTCAGCTCAAGGCTAGCGCTCTACCACTTGAGCCACAGCACCAATTCCGGCTTTTTTTTTTTTTGCTTATGGGTGCTGAGGAATTGAACCCAGGGCCTCCAGCATGCAAGGCAAGCGCTTCACCACTGAGCGACCTTCCCAGACCCAGAGAGAATCTTTGAATCAGAAAATTTCTTTTGTTTTTCAGTCCTAGTCTTCACTCTGTAGAAAATCCTTTATTACCATCTCACACTTGAACAATGCCATTAGGTGGGGAGCTTATGATTCTTTTGTTTATTGGACACGTCAACTAGGCTACTCATCCACCCGTACTATCCTTGAGAAATGGATTGTTGTTTTTAAATCGAAGTAAGATTTGTTATTCAATAAATTCTACATTCCTTAGCCTTTGGAGCAGTATAAAATAAAGTGTTTTTCAGAGAAGAGTTTTGAATATCTAGTTCTTGAGATTTATTTGTATTCTTTTTTCTGGGGTGGGGTGGTTGTTCGTGGGGCCTGAACTCTGGGCCTGGGC